GTATGAGGAGGAAACTCTCAGACCATTGATGAAGAAAGTGTGGGAAGAACTTCAAGTGGAGGGATCCAGTTCCTTTGTTCTGGCAAAAAAAATGACGGCTATAGAAAAAGAATTAAAATCTAGAACTTGGAGAATAAGTTAAGTTTGGAGACTGAAAGAAAAGCCTTATTGGGTATTATTGAAGAGATTGATAAAGCAGAAGAAATGGGTCCTATTTCTGAAGAGTTAAGGCTGAAAAGACTTAAAGCAAAAAACATGGAAAAATTGGTGGTGAAAGAGGAATTGAAATGGAGACAACGGGCTAAAGTTAATTGGCTAAAGGTAGGTGACAAAAATACACATTTCTTTCACAAAGTGGCTAATGCTAGAGCTAGAGTTTCAGCTATTAAGAAGTTGACATGGAATGAGAGATGTGGTGAATCTGATTCAGAGATTAAAGCAGTTGCAACCTCTTTCTATAAGAACTTTACAAGGAAAAGTGGAAGCTGAGACCATTTCCCTTCAATCTCTCCTTTAGGCAACTGAGTGAGACCCATAAAAGTTGGCTTGAAAGGCCTTTTATAGAAGAGGAAGTCAGTGCAGCAATTAAGAAGCTTGAAGGTGATAAATCACCTGGGCCGGATGGTTTTACCAATCTGTTCTATCTGAAGTGTTGGGACTTTGTGAAAGAAGATGTGATGAAGGTGTTCCAGGAGTTTCATGCAAATGCGTCCTTACAAAGAAGTCTAAATGCCACTTTTGTTTCCCTTATTCCAAAAATTGAGGGGGCTGTGAATATTAAAGAGTTTAGGCCTATTAGCTTACTTCACAGTTTCTATAAAATCTTGGCGAAAGTCTTGGCAGAAAGAATGAAAGGGGTGATAGGTAACGTTATTTCAAATAATCATAGTGCATTTATTCCAGGCAAACAGATGGTAGACTCAATTTTAGTTGCTAATGAGTTAATTGACTCAAGGAGAAGACGGGGTATTCCGGGGGTTTTTTGTAAGCTTGACATTGAGAAGGCTTATGACAATGTCAATTGGAATTGTTTGGATAGGGTGTTGGACTGCATGAATTTTGGACAGAAATGAAGAAACTGGGTTAGTGTTTGTACTAAGACCTCTAAATTTTCAATCCTAATTAATGGGCAGCCCACGGGTTTCTTTGGTAGTTCTAGGGGGCTGAGACAGGGAGATCCTCTGTCACCCTTGCTGTTCATCTGTGTTATGGAAATCCTCACTCTTTTTAGTAAGAAGGCTGCAGAATCGGGATTATGGAATTGGTTTACTATCTCTCCAGGTAAAGAGAAAGTTAATATTCTTCAGTTTGCTGATGATACCCTCTGCTTTGTGGATGCATCTCTGCCTTAGTTGGAAACAGTTCTTGGAATTCTGAGTTGGTTTGATGTGGTTACGGGTCTCAAAGTCAATCTGAACAAAAGTAAGATCATCCCAGTGGGTCAAGTTGTAAATTTGGAAGATTGTGCACAGATAATGGCCTGCCATATGGAGCTCCTTCCGGTTAAGTATTTGGGGTTGCCTCTTGGGACAAAATGTTCCTCTTCTTCAATCTGGAGTCCAATCATT